TTACTGACCTATGCCGCCTGGCTAATGGGCGGCGCGAACAGCCTTAATGTTGTCCCGGCTAACAGGGCACGCTCTTAGCTGTTGGCAACAGTCCGAAGAGCGAGGCAGAGACGAATGTTAGACTTAACAGCGCCTGCTCTTTGGGATATTTACTCTTCAATGCTGTAGGCGGGACTCTTCCACTGTTAAAGGAACGCTGTTAGGGCAACGCTGTTAAGGCATCGCTGTTAAGGCTTCACTGCTAATGCTCTTCTGCTAAAGCCCTGTTAAGAGAGAGAGAGAAAGAGAGCTCGCATAAATCACAGAAGTCGACGGCTGTCGACGGCAATGCGGTTACATACTCGTACCCCGCCCCCGCCACAGCCCGTGGCAAGTGCCCCAAATGTGCATTTAAATTAGCAGAGAGCCACCCCCCTGGAGCCACTGCCCAGGGGCACCCCCTTCTGGTACTGCAATGTCATTTCTATGCACAATGAATGCATAAATCATTAAGAAGCGCCCGCTCGCCGCACCGCAGAAATAATAACAATAATGCTAAAAACTGCAACAAACCGATGGCTCGATGGCTCGATGGCCCGATGGCTGCCACAATGCCCCATGTGAATGCCACCCAATCAGCAATAAACCACTTCCCGAACCTCGGATGGCCAGGGGGGGCAGCAGCCACATGTGCAACCGATTACAGGCATTTCCGGCAATCAGTTTTTAGCGCCCCCGTATTTTCAAACACGGATAGTTGTAATAATTCCTCAAAATTGTACCCGAAATTCAATTCAATTCTCAGTCGCGGGCCATCGATAGCCGCGCGGCTCGTGACAGTCCCCGGCAGTCGAACGACTGTGTTGTGCCGTCACGCGCTGCCCCACAGTCCCCACAGTCCCCCGCAGATGGAAAACAGTCAAAATTTATGGTCCCCGTCATAGATCATCACAAATGACAGTCGCGGGAGCCCAGCGATTGGCAGGAGTTTAGTGCAAGTGGTTGTCATGCGAGTATCGGCCGCGGAGAGGGGGTTTGGGGGGGCCTTACAGTGATTTCTTTTTGAATTCAATTTGGAAAGATTTGACTGCTTTCGAATGGAATTTCAGATGAATTTAGAACTGGGAATAGACTTCGATTGTACTGGGGAGATATTTGTGTAGGAATTAAGTTGTATCTTGGTTGTTTCTTCATCGCTTTTAAATGAATGGAGATTTTCCCCACTAGACGGACAAAGTAGGGTCTAAAGTGCGACATTTTCAAAGGCCAAAGGGTATGGAGTCTTGACTCGGGCTATAGCCAATCCCTTGCCCAATTCCTGGCTTGAAAAATGTTCCTTTTTTCCCCTTTAAATACCATTTCCATTCTGCATATGTCTGGCCCATCGCGTAGGTCTCACGGCCGACTGCCAGATAGATCTCCCATTGACTTGTCACTCAGTTGAGTGCTGGCCCAGTGACCTCGCCAGCCTCCTCCTCCTTGTCCCCCCCACCCCTTCGTGCAGCCGTTGTCTGCATTTCGTTCTGGGGACAAATGTCAAAAATTGTATTTGCATTTCCCGTGAGTTTCTTTTCCTCGCAGGCGGCTTTTAATTGAAATCGAAATTGACTTTGGAGGCAGATGTTCTACTTTTTTATTCGTTTGAGCTTCGGATTAAGCCCTGACAGGGTTTAACCTTGAGCTAACCTGGAGGTAGGGCTAAGGGAGAGTAAAGGAATGGATTTCGCGGATATGGAATGAGAGAAGGATGGGCGATGGGCCCAGAAACACTGTACTCTATATAGATTGATCTCTAAGATCTCCTCTAATCGGCAAATATAACCCCACTTTAACCACAAATAGATCCCCCAAAAACACAGGCAATCTAATTAGAAAACTGTGTCAAAATGAGGCCGCAGTTACGGCCAAATGTTGTCATAAATGGGAATTTTGTTAATTAAAAACAGCAGCAGCACAATCATCGAATCACCGGATGATTGTGATGACCCATCAATGATGATTATGATTATTTGATACGAGTGCATAAATGATTCACAAACAAAGGCCGTAGAACGTAGCAATTAGCCAGGTCACGGATTGGATTCCATTTACCACTTAAACGCTTTATTTTTTGGCATTCCATTCAATGATTTTTGGCATCGTATAAATTGCCTTTAACAATGATTGAAAATGCTCCATAATAATTCTTTAATTCTCAATACATCAATAAATGTAAAGAGTTGAAGGAGAAATTTAATTAACTTTTCAAAACGGATGTGCCAGTGAAAGCTGAAACAAGGAAAAAAAGGGAGTGGAGAGGAAAAACTTGAAGGAAACTAATAAATGGATGGCGAGAAGGTAAGGACTAGGGGATATCCTGTAGGTGGGAGGCGTTTCTGATGATGTTTTGGGGGACTTTATTTGCTCTAAAAGGCATTCTGTGGACAGACTCCCTTCGACCTCGAGCATAAAGGCGAAATTGTGGCTTTACCCACAAGGGATACCCTTTAAGGTTTCATTTTGGTTGTTTTTTGGAAGAACCAACGTTTAAAACTGCTTGAAAACTACAATAAATGATATACCATCGTTGATTAATGCTTCGATTCGTCGGAAATGTAACAAATTTGAAATGCGTCTAAGCCAGAAACCAATCACTTATCATTTTCTGCAGCTGGAAAAGCGCTGGGAAAAAGTGTTCCACGCTAATTGAATGTCAATGGGGGGGTGGGAGGAGGGGGGGGCCATCGACAATGTCATTTTGAAATATTTTTAAACGCGATTTACATGCAGTTTGCACTTTTCCGCAGACCAGGAGGAAGGAAGGAAGGACCTTAAAGGATGTGACATTTTGGGGAGTGGCGTCCTGGGGGGAAAAATGTGCGTCTCTTAACAAAATTCTCTTTAAATATTTGCAGCTCTGGCAAATATAAATGACACGAAAGTTTATAACGAATGCAAAGGGAAATAGTACCAGGAAAGCAGGAGGATAATGAAGGCAGTAAGCTCTCAAAGAGAATCAGAATTTATGGGGGAGGGGGGGGCATGGGAGATGGGAGCGGGGAAATGTATTAGGGAGCAGCAAAATACCAAGGACATGGAACGAATGAAGGATGGAAATTCTGCAATGCAGCAAATAAATTAAATTGGAATTAAAATTCCATAATAAAATGTAGGGGTTTCTATTCCTCATCGAACTTATAAAAATGGAACTGTGATGCCTCATAAGGTGTGGCGAGTCCTTGGCAAGAAAACTGTATTAAAAGTCTCCATTATTTCCCTCAGAGATCTCTGAGATATTTTGTGGCTGCTCGCTTTTTGGGTCTCAAGCCTCAACCCAGTTGCAGCGACAGACGTGACACAATCCCCACTCCACTCCGCACTCCACGGAAAAACAAAAGCCGTACTCCGCACTCTTCACAGGCGTTTTGTTAACATCCCGACTGACACTGAAACCGAAAGCCTTTCTCCGCCAAAACAGCAAAAAAGCAAAACAAAACAAAAGAAAAAGTAAGGAAAAACCCAACAACGAAGAAAAGCAAACTCCAGAGAGACGTTTTATTTATAATGAAGTTCATTTACTTTGTGCAAAAATACGGGCGGAGAACAAAAACGCTTTAGTTTCATGTGTTCCGTTCTGTTCGAGAGTGGGGCAGGGGGGGAAAGGGCAGAAAGGGGGGCAGTGCCAGGACTCACTGCTGTCCTGATGCTCGGCTGTCTTCGCGGCTCTGTGTGGAGTACGGAGTACGGAGTACGAGTATGGCTATTGTTTTAGCCGCTTGTTGTTTGCAAGATTAATATGCTGCTGTTTTCCACTACTTATGCTGCCTTTCAAGACGGGACACCCCCTCCCCCCACCCAGCCGACTGCAGGTCCAGGCCCTGGCCCTGGCAAAAGCTCCTTCCAGCACGTCCTGCCTAGGCACATGTGTGCAAAAGTACTTTGCCAGCAGGCAGGGTATATTGTAGATGTGGTGAGGCATGTAACGGGGTGCAGGAAGGGTCTAGGAGCACAGTGCCCACAAACAGTAAGCTCTGGTATTTATTTAATGAAAGTTTGATAGATTTTCCTCGAACCTTCTCGATTCGATCTCCGATTTCCCTGGTAAAAGCTAATTAAAAACGATCTAGGGATACCCATCTAAATCTTCCGTTGATAAACCTTTGTTTGGGCAGCTTTTACCTGCCACTAAAGGGCATCCCGTAATAGATTCACTGCCGGGTTTCAGTTTAATGAGTGTGCGTGTGCTGGTGCTTGATGCTTGATGCTGGATGCTGGATGCAGGATGCAGGATGCTGGATGCTCCTCTCATCTCAGTGCGTGTGTTGAAAACTTAAGTCACGAAAGCAGAGCCAGAAGGCAGCGACAGCCAACGAAATACTTTGCCAACGAAAATATTATACAACTACTTTAAAGGAAAGGAAAGGGAAGGAAAGGGATTTATTGTGTGCCTCTGTGTGTGTGTGTGTGTGCAGACTCCTTTTTGCCCAGTGTGCTGCTCAACGAGATGCAATGAAGCCGAAATGCAGCAGCACTCAACTTGAGCTCCTCTTTCGAGCTCCTCAAAGATTCTGGGGGGGGGGAAAAGTCTTGCCGTCGCCCCTTCGCTCTGTGCGAAAATGAGCAGAAATTCTGGGGAAGGGCTCCTTGCCTCTTGTCCTCTGAAATTTTCATTTGCATCGTTTGGCAAGCTTCCTTCCTGCCATAACTGGCGGCGTTCTGCACGCAGTTACACATCACAATTTGGTGCGCAGCAAAAGTGGCAGCAGCAGGATCCAGCTCAGCCCGGCTCCTGGCGGCACACAGTTTGTCTTTTCATTAGTTTCGCTCCTTAGTGTTATCCTGCTCAGATATCCTTCTCTTGGCCAGCCCATAGCATTAGGAGTCTTTACCCGAATCGCTTAGAATCGCTGCAATGAAATGCTCAGGAAACACTGCCAGGGATTTTTCAGGGATTTAATTGCTCCAAATTTTATTCCCCAGGAGATTCCTCTACTGCCCTACACTCTCCTCCCACTTTTATCCCTGCCCTACTGTTATTGGGCTCATCGGGGACTGCGACTGCGTCTCAGATTCGCCATCTTCCTTCGGTGCGACTCCCCGTCCGTGTGGTCGTCGTCCCGCACCAGTTGCAGGGCATTGCAGACGGGAGTGATTATGTCGTCCACATGCGGCACCTTCGCGGCGAACGGCACCCGCCGCAGACCCGTCCAGATGTGCTGCCTGTCCGAGGGGGACTCGGCGGGCGTGGCGGCAATCGCCACCTCGAAGGCGCCCTCCTCCTCCGGCGGACCGTGCTCGTTGATCCGCAGCTGCAGCTTGACCCGCGGATGGAGGGCCCGCAAAGCCTCCGCCAGCGAGACGTGCAGCTGGAGGGCGTCTCGGCGGAAATTCTCGCGGTACCGACAATGATCAATGTACAGCACCGGCTGATTGGGGTCCAGTGGCGTCTTGTCGCTCATTGTCGGGCTGGACAGGACTGGACAGGACTGGACAGGGCTGGACTGGACAGGGCTGGACAGGTGGAAGGGCCCGAAATCGTCGGGGGGGACAGGTGGCTAGAACTGACGGCAGAGCTCTCAGGTTTCGACAGGATTCTCCTGGGTGGCTGCTTATCAACTCTTGGCGGCCGCCGCCAGGCCCCATTGTGTGGGGGCACCATCATAAATCAAATAAAAAAGAGCGTATCTGACAAATAAATCTTCGAGAGTGAAACACCGCAAAAAAAACAACGAGGTCGTGGAAAGAACATGCAAATGGGCATAAAATATGCAGAGGCCACAAGTCCAAAAAATGAAATAAAATAAAGTACAAGAAAGGTGACTGCCAGTCGGGTGTGGACGATTGGGATACCCTGGAAAAAGTTATTAGATTTATTTTTAATTGGAATAAATATAAAAAATATAAAGATCCCATACGTATTATTCTACGAATGATAATTCGCTCGCACAGATAGGATTTTCTTAGAGCAAAATATTATAAATATTCTAAAAAACGCGTTTTTCGACCGATATTATAACGGATATTATAATATTATTATTATAGTAGTAGAGAACAGAACACTGATCTTGAATAAGCTCATATGACTGTGAGAAATGCTTCAGATGCCATTTTGGGACATAGCTGTAGATCTATTCTATATTCTATATAGACTTTGAAAATACCCTTTCGGCATTACAAAACTCCTCTAAAAACCATAATACCCGACACGAAAAAATAGTACAAGATACAGCAGAAAATAAATACATATTCCGTATATATCGTCCAGTTTCAGCTGACATTTTGACCTGCGGCGACTCGAAAAAAAAAAGAAAAGTATATTTTAAATAAAGGAAATTTTTTGCAAAATTTACCAAAGCTAAAGAGTAAAGAAAACACACACACAAAAGGGAAAGCTCACTCCTTGTCCCTCTCTCTCTCTCTGTATAGAAAAAGGGTGGTGGAGAAGTGAGGGGGTGTCCGGGGGGAGGGGGGAAAATATATTTTAATAAACTGAACACAAAGCAGAGTAGCAAAAGAGCCCTGTGCTCGGTGCCCCAGAACCAGCGGCAAGGTTAGCCAGCAGTTCATTCATTCAGTTTTTATTCAGTTTTATTCACAGTTATTGAATGTAGAGCAGCTCCCCCTCCCCTTCCCCCACCCCTTCCCCTTTCCCCTTCCTTTGCCTCTGCCTCTTCCACTGCCCTCGAATAATATAAAAATAAATATAAAATACGAGTAAAATCTCTACCTCCACCTCTACCCTCTGCCCTCCACCATCTACCATCTACCATCTATGATAATATTGCAAGCTCAGCCAGGGGTTAGAGGTCGGAACGTGAGCAGCAGAGCCGCCACCGATGGCCCACCAACGACAGTGACCGACGACAGTTGACAGACGCCGCAAATCCCAAAGAAAATATATTCAGCCAAAACCGTAATGCGGCGGACAGCGGAGAGTGGATTGCGGCCGGAGTCGGGCGGAGAGTCTTTGGGCTATGGCCGGGACGTGGCAGTGACGATGACGATGACGATTGGGTTGCTGTTCCCTCTGATTGGATCAACATACTTATCCTTGTGTTGGCAAAGCACCTAACAAGGAGTCACAAATAGCCAGAGGACATCCCTCCTCCTAAGCCCCAACCACTTTAATATGCTAAGGAGAAACTATTTGAAATTTTGATTTAAAGCTAGCGTATGATTGGTGCAAAACGGTTTTTCCCTTGGGAAACCGTAGTGGAGGGCGGCAGGGGGGCGGTACGATGAGATAGAACCTATTAAACGTTAGAAAATGTGGCATTATTTTCACTCTCTTTGGACCACGCATTAGCCTTTTTCTAGATTATTTCGATCTGACATGGGCCCCTTTACCAGACTGAAACAATCCCCTACAATTTTGTTGTTGAACCATGAGATTTGCTCGAATAATGATTGGCCTTGGGTCCATGTGTCAACTAGTTCCCGAAAGCATAGCATGCCTTACGATTTTTCAGTTCATTTGACAACGAGCATTCGTATCTATCAAAAATTTAATCTAAAAAACAAAAAAAAAATCCTGAAATGGAGCCCAAAATAGAGGAAAAGTGGAAAAACAGGCGCAGTACTGAGGAAATCGGCGACTGGCGGGACGCTTCACTCCACACGGTTCTCTACGAGTACTTCGTGAAGAACATGGCGCTGTCGTCGGACCTGGGAGCGCTCATCGGCTACGTACTGGTCTTCGTGATCACTTGGTATGTGATTATCTGGATGGCTCGCTTCGTGCTCTCGCTGGTCTGGCCGGTTGTCATGCTGGTCCTTGCCGTGATTTTGATCCGCTTAGTATCTGCTTTCGATATCCCGGAATTGACAGACATGCTCTTCCAGGCCGTAGTTGTGGTTTCAGACATGGTAATGGCAGCCGTGACCAAAGCCCTAGAGTTTGGTTTAACTTTTTTAAATTAAGGGACCTCCAATAGTAAATCTCAGCTAAATATGTATTTTTCACATTCGAAACTACTCGTTTAATAAGCAAATAAGCAACAAATTTCTTATTATAAATATGTATTATAATGTTTTTTTTACTTACCATCGCACCGCCGTAAAAACATCTCTCTAATTTGATTTAATTTGATTAAATTTAATGTAAGGTGAGGCACTGGGGGGCGGAAGTTCGTGTGAATACACCAAGCGGGAGAGTGTCAGATCAGCGCGTATTGGGAATGCCTCACCCTATCACGAACTTCACTTGGAACGAGAGCACTCTCTCCATTTTGATTCTCTTCCTCACTGCATCCCACTACTACTCTCCATTGAAGGGAGTGGGAAAGGGACGAAACTTGACGAATTTTCAAGCACGCACACAAACACACACACATTGCTAGAACTCACGGGATCCAGCGAAAAAAAAGGCGAGACAACGAAAAAATAACACATTTTAGATTTGTACACATAAAAAAAAACCAATTTATGCAAAAGTATTATGTTCAACAACATACATATGTACATATGTATATATCAAACATTTCACATATAAGATACATATTTTTTGCACTTTTCCTTCTTAGATCTGCATTTTTGCGGCCATTTTGCCTCCTTCTGCGCCACCGGCCAGTCGCAAACACTTTTCTTGCACTAAAACACATTTAATTTGTACATTTATATATGAACTTCATTTCAAACAACTGCGCGACATTTTACACGATCGATTTTCACCATTTTCCGAATTTTCTCGATTTTAAGCGCGGAGCCGACATACGAACGCGCGCTTTGCCGACGGTAAAATGAAAGTGAGAGCGCTGCAAAATCCGTTTATTCTTTGATCTCCTGCTCCTCTTCCTTATTGCTCTCTCTCGCACTCACTCTCCAGCTACTTGTACGAAAACGAAAAGCGAAACGAAAAAACGGACAACGAGACAAAGAAAACTTTTTGATTTTCCACACGAAAAAAAATAATTTTTGCACAAAATATGTTTATCCACATATGTATATACATATCACATATAGAATATATATAAACGTATGCCACAAATCGGCTCACTTTTCCTTCGTTGATCTGCATTTTTGCCGCCATTTTGCCTCCTTCTGCGCCCTCGCCCTTTTCCAAACACTTTTCTTGCACTAAAACACATTTATTTTGTACATTTATATATGCACTGCACTGAACTTCATTTCACACACCTGCTCGACATTTTTCCCGATGGATTTTCACCATTTTCCGCATTTTCTCGAATTTAAGCGCGGAGCTGACTTACGAACGCGCGCTTTGACCGGTTGAAAAAATTTGAGTGAGAACCCTGCAAATGCGTTCATTCTTTGATCTCTCATTCTGCTGCCAAGGGCGTACCCAGTATTTCGCGAAGGGGGTCAGTGATTGTTATGCGTTTGATGAAGATGTTAAATGCATTTAGAAACATTGATTCATATCAAATCAATTAAGCAGAAACCTTTTTATTTCAATATGCAGCGAATATTAAATTCTAATATGTTTTCCACTAATAAGCACGCTGAAGGGGCGGCCAGTTAACCCCCTTCTGATAACTGTGTACGCCCTTGCCTGCTACTCTTCTTAATTGCTCACTCTCCTCCCACGCTCTCTGCAGCTGCTTAAGCTCATGATGGAGGTCCGCTCTCGCAGCGCGCATTCTTCTCACGACACCTTTTGCTCAGTGCAACAGCTTAGTGCTGCTCTCTCTCTCACTCAACCTTGTAAAATTTCATCATGCTCATGCTCAAAAGAGTGTGGGAGTTTGAGTGTGATCTAGAGACGAAACAGGTGAGTGAGTTAGAGTGCGCGTTGATGGTGCAGCGTATGGTGAAATGACTTAGTTTTATTAAATTAACTGATCTCTCTTTGTAGTAGCAGAGAAAGAAGTTTAAAAATCTAAAATCTGTTATTGTCTCGTTGTCCCAGCTTTTTTTTCGTCGCGTTTTCGCAAAAGTAGCTGGAGAGAGAGCAATTAGGAAGAGGAACAGGAGATCAAAGAATAAACGCATTTGCAGCGCTCTCATTCAAATTTTTTCAGCCGGTCAAAGCGCGCGTTCGTAAGTCAGCTCCGCGCTTAAATTCGAGAAAATGCGGAAAATGGGGAAAATCCATCGGGAAAAATGTCGCGCAGGTGTGTGAAATGAAGTTCAGTGCAGTGCATATATAAATGTACAAAATAAATGTGTTTTAGTGCAAGAAAAGTGTTTGGAAAAGGGCGTGGGCGCAGGAGGAGGCTAAATGGCGGCAAAAATGCAGATCTAAGAAGGAAAAGTGCAGCGATTTGTGATATATATTATAAGTATATATTTTATATATGTATGTGGACTAAAAAATATATTTTTTTTCCATTAATTCTTTTTTTTCATGTGTAAAATCAAAAATGCTTCGTTGGCTCGTTTTTTATTTTCCTTTGATCCGTGATTTGCAGCAGTATGTGTGCGTGCATGCCTGAAAACTTGCCGAAAAATTCGTCTAGTTTTGTCCTTTTCCCACTCCATGGTGCAATAGGCCACTGAA